AGAAAATGAAAAGTCAGGTACAGGTACATGGAAGCAGAAGAGGCATAGTAACTAGAGCTAATATATTACATGGTACAGAAGTCATTAAAACAATGAAATTCCTTTTCAATTAAAAATTTCTTAAAAGCTGATTTAAACGCATCCTTTGATGGTTTTTCTGTGATGCACACTGGCAGTTTATTATAGATCTTTATGCATTTATATTTAATTTCACCCTTGCAGTACTTATCGACAAATAGTTTATTTTTGTTACGAGTATTGTAACTATGAATTTTATCACTTGTTAGAGAGATAAAATTAGATTTAGCATACATGGCACAATAATAGATATATAGGGAGGTGAGTGTTAACATTTTGCTTCTTTTAAAAAGACCTCTGCAAGAAATGGTATGGTCTTTTATGCCATGTAGCAAGCGTATAGCTCTTTTTTGTAGTCGGAACAACTTTGAAATTAAAACCTTCTGATTATCTTCATGTCCCCACACTATTATGCCATATGAAAGAAAAGATTGAATAAATGCATTAAAAATTAAGGTACATTCAGATTTATGAAGGGATTGAACCATTTGAGATAAAACAAAAATTCCCTTTTTAACTTGTTTTGAAATTTCTGAGATATGTGTATCCCCTTACTAAGATCTAAAAGTAAGGTCAACACTACTTCACCTTTAGCTCTTGAATTACAGACTATATCATTAAAACGTACAACAGCATCTATGCATGAAATCCCCTTTTTGTAGCCAAATTGCTTGGGTGATATTATATTATTAGAGTTAAGAAAGCCCATTACCCTTCTCAGATATATCTTTTCAGATATTTTGGAAAAAGGTGAAGATAAGGCTATAGGTCAATAATTCTCAGGTAGTGTTTTTTGACCTTTTTTATAAAGAGGCTTAACTATAGTTTTCTTTAGTGCTGTAGGAAAGACTCCTTTATCCATTGATTGGTTAATGATATGAACAAGGGGTACCAGAATGGCTTTTTTCACACTCTTGACAACGTAGTTTGATATTTCATCAGCCCCAAAGGATTTCTTATTACTAAGTTCATTGATCATTTTTTCCACTTCATCAATATTTGTTGGGCTCATAAATACTGAATTGTCAGAACTATACACTAAATTAGGGTTAAAATCAACATTGTCAAGTTTAGAGGCAATTTGCTTAGGAATATTTAAAAAATAGTTGTTAAAAATTTCTGCGTTAGCAGATGGATCCGAAGAGGGCTTCCCCTCAACAGATAATGTAATTATCCCGTCGGATTTTACATTTTTTTCTTACTTCATACTGTTGGTAATGGACCATATAGTTTTAGATACATTATCAGATTCTAAGATTTTATTTGAGTTTTTTAGTCTTACATGTGAGTCCAGTGCTTTCAACAGTTGTTCTCTTTGGGTTTTAATATTATCAATGATAGAGTTTCTGTCAATCAGGTCATTTTCCAGTTCATTACAAAGAATTGATTGAAGAGTAGAGATTACTTCTTTTATGGCTATCACATTTGGAGGATCCCACTTAACAGTATTGTGAGAATTTGTTTTTTGTTGAATTTTAACATTAGGACAATATACGTCAAAATAAAATTTGAATGTAGCAATAAACATATCAAATGCCATATTTACGTCATTAATTTGTAAGACATCATTCCAATTTTCATTTAGAAGGGCATAATTCAAGTTCATTAGAGTTTCCTGATTAACTTTTCTTTTATATACAGGTATAATATTAGATTTTTTACCTGCATCAAAAGTGGCTATTAAAGCTTCATGATCTGAGAGTTGACTAGTACTTATGACATTTTTACTCACTACTTTATGATAAAAGTTTGTACATATGTTATCGATACAAGATCCTCTGCCGGTCTTGAGGTTTATTCTAGTGTAGGAATGAAATAGTAGTTTTAATCCACAGCCATTTAAAGTATCACAAAACGCATTTACCTTCATAGATTTATGGATAGTTTTTATATTAAAATCTCCAGCTAGTATTACATTAGACTGAAGAGGATTACTTTCAATTAGCAGTTCACTTAGGATGTCTTCGAACAATTCCATTTCATTGACAGTGGATACTGGTGGTCTATATAAACCTATAATAGTACATTCAAAGGAGTTGATTTTTAGATTAATTGCAGCTATTTCCCAGATTTTTTCTTTAGAGAGAGAGTTGATAGAATTACAATTTTTTATACTGCAATGCATAGAGTCTCTCATTAATATTAGAACTCCACCTCCTGACGTGGATTTTCTAGAATAGGAAGCTACTTTTAAGAAGCCTTCTAATGTGAAGTCTTTGGTTTCTACTTCATTGAGCCAGTGTTCAGTGATTATTACCAAGTTAATCTTATTTTCATTCAGGAGATGCAGGACAACATTTCTTTTCTTCCTTATGGATCTGATGTTAATAGACATTATATTGAGGTACTCATGGTTTTGTACCATGTTTGTAATGCACTTCTGCTGGTGAACTAAAAAAATTTTAGGTCCACAGGTTCATTGATGGGAAAGTTGTTGAGCATCAGAGTTTTCAGGAGCTAGAGGAATCATATTGTCTTCTAGGCCTTTGATATGGCTATCTCCTAGGAAGACAACTCTTGTTTTTAGCCCGCTCTTTTGCTTAAAAGCTATATAAGCGGGCTTATGCCATCGCCTCTGTGTCTGTCTGTCTGTCCGTCCGTCCGTCAGTCCGTTCCCCAAGAAGGACGTGAGCTAGAGGTCTGAAATTTTCAGGGTATTATTGTTGTCACTTCTGGACAACGAAACGGTTGGTGCAAATCCTGGCAACCACCCCTGAGTGGGTCTGAGGGGGTAACAAAGAAATAGGGGTTGGTCCAAGAAGTGGAAAAAAATATTTTTTTATTGTCTCCTAAGGGGTAACTCGTGAAAGTAGAGCCCTTTGGGCGAACATTTCGTCCGTTTGGCTCTATCTCTCACCGTTTAGGCGCTAGAGGGAGTTTTTCTGAAAAAAGTGACCCCGAAACAATATATTAAGTTTAGAAAATATTTGATGGTTTCTGTTGTAAATGAAGTAAAGAGGCGAACTGGTTGAGTTTACTGGTTTATTCGAAGTGAAGTGACAGAGTGCGAGCAGTAGTACATATAAGCTTGGGTACCGGATATTTGCACGACAGTGTGTGAACAGGCAGATGCAGTATACAACACTCCTTATCACTTAGAGAAAAAAAAATGATTAAAAAAAAGGACCGAGGAAGCATAAAAATAATTGAAAAACTACCGTGTAGTTGATAATTAACAATGCTAGATAATTTAACAAATAATAGAACAACCAATTATATTTTACGTGATAAAATGAAGGCTGTAGATTTTAAAAGTTAATGCGATAGGAAAACCACAAAAAGAATACACAAATCATACATAGGACAATTGAATAAACACAATTGGGTGATTAAGAAAATGCATGAGTTAAAAGGGGAATACAGATTTAAAAGTGTTTGGAAACATTGCAAAATTTGAATAAGTTTGAATTGATTAAAGAGAATACAAACTAAATTAAAAAAAGAAAATTGAATGCAAGAGCATAGTAGAAGCATAAAGCCGAGAAGCACAAGGCCAAGAAGCATGAAGCCGAGAAGCATGAAGCCAGGAAGCATGATGCCAAGAAGTAAGAAGCAAGAAGCCAAGAAGCATGACGCCGAGGAGCACGAAGCCAAGAAATATTGAAGTGACAAGCACCGAATGCATGAGCATGAATTAACTTAAAATACTAAAAAAAATGAGATAAATTATAAACATTTAAACACTTATATCACAAGTAAGGAAAGTATAGCCAGAAGAGGCTGAATATCACAATACAATGACAGGGGTGTTTGAAATGCAAGATAACATACACATTATTAAATGGGTTGGAACACTAAGAAATGCAATGAGCAAAAGGATCCAACAAAAAGGGTAAACAGGACACTGAGAATGTGACAAGCACATAAAGAAGGGAGACAAAACAGTTCATTAGAAAAAGGTATCAAAACCACTGAAGCTGAATGAGCCTAGATCTCCGAAGACTGACTGGTCCAAGCCTTTGACGGCCCAGTCCGAGGTTGGGGTGGGAGTCTTGTGGTTAGATTCAGGGGAACTGACGCTTTGCATGTTGTTGATTGAAACCTCTTCTTTCTGTTTCTTCGCTCTCTTGCATGCAGCAAGGAGATGTCCAATTTTGCCACAATTAGAACAATGACAATTTTTGTACTTCAATGAACATTGCTTAGTAATGTGACCTGACTCGCCACAACGGAAACAAGAGATCTGGTTAGCAGAGGGGGCTTCAGATGAAACAGGTGTCTTGACCGTCTTCGAAACCGTCTGCTGCTTGTTGAAATTCACTTGTTTCCGTGCTGAGTGCATTGCATGAACTTCAACGTGCTGCTGGAGGCTACTTATGCATGCCTTGCTGGACTCGGCAGCCTTTGCTGTTGTCTTGGCCCCATCCAGAGATATGGTTGGATCACCATAAAGCTTGACCTGCGTCGAATGGTCTCGGAGACCTCTCTTGAATTGAAACAGGACCAGAAGCTTGGCATCCTTTCTAGTGAAACCAAGGTTCATAGAAAGTCGTTCCAGCTCAGCGCAGTATGCCGCCCCTGACTCACCCTCCTGCTGAAATCTCGTGACCAAGGAGTTGAACTGCACGTCGCGGTTGACAGACGGCTGCACGTTCTCTCTCAGAACTTCTAGAAGCCGATTGTATGGACACTCAGGGAGAGTAAGCGGATGAATCCATTCTCGGACTTTCCGCTTTGTTTCTTCACATAAACAGCGGATCAAAATTCCACGTTTTTGCGCCTCCGATGTAATTGCCTTCGACGCCATGAGGATGGCCATATCTTCCAGAAATTCTTCCAGACGTTCAGGTGCGGAGAAATCGAAGAATGGAATTTTCTCCCCCATGGTGCTGAAGCAGTACTCACTAAAGACTCGATTTGAGAGGAGCCGGCGGGCAAGGATGTTGAAGCAGCACACGTGCTCGGATAGGTTAAAACTTGCAACTGTCAGTCGGACCTCTTGATTGATGATGAGAAAACTTCACAGAAAGGTGGGCGAGAATACTCAATCTTCGCTGTTCTTCTGACCGTTCTCTTCTCTCGTCGCCAGTGTTGTAAATGAAGTAAAGAGGCGAACTGGTTGAGTTTACTGGTTTATTCCGAAGTGAAGTGACAGAGTGCGAGCAGTAGTACATATAAGCTTGGGTACCGGATATTTGCACGACAGTGTGTGAATAGGCAGATGCAGTATACAACAGTTTCCTAGGGGGTAACTTGTGAAAATAGAGTCCTGTGGGTTACAATTTCGTCCGTTTGGCTTTTTCTCTCACCGTTTAGGCGATAGAGGGAGTTTCTCTCACCAAAATGGCCAGAACAGAAATATTTTTATTTTTTCAGAAGTACACTTCTGTCTGAAAAGTATGCGGCCGGTTCAAAATTTTCTTCTAAGCAGAAGAGTGGGCTTATTTTATGGTGGCACATCATTAATAAAACGTGTACACTTTTATGCAAAAAAACCACCAAAAAAACACATTTAGTTTTTTGTTGTTTGAACACGTTCGGTGTCATTCAGAGTATGCCTGGAAGTATATTTAACTTCTAGGTCTAGTCTTATGTACATTTTCATAGGTGTGTTATTGGATTCATAAGCTAACATCAATAACATAAAATTTCGGCATAACTTGCATGTATTCTACAAACTGCGGCACACACAGCCAAAGATGTTCAGCGTATGAAAAGAATACTTCGTTTGTTGAGTTTTACTTACGAAGTAGACAGAAAAGGTACCTGGCAAGAGAAAAAGATGGTTCGAAGCGAGCCGTCACAGCCGTCACTTTTCGGATAGAAGATGTATTACACCATAATAATTCTGAAGGGACGGGCCGAAGGCCCGTCCCAAACGCCGCCGGCAGGCCAAGCTGGGCCCGCTCCCTGCCGAACCGAGTTGCCGGTGGAGCGAAGCGGACCTGGCAACTTGGTTTGGCGGAAGAGCGGGCCCAGCTTGTTTTCTTGTTTCCTCTCTTAAATCTTTTATTCTTTACTGCTGCTGAGTAGGAGATATGCTCATCGTCAGGTAGAGTGAGGACGGTAATCTTTACTGAGGAGTTGGCAAAGTTGCTTTTCAGCATTTTCATGGTTTTGCACCAGGGGATCTCGTCCAGACCACTACCAATCTTTGGCATGAAGAGGCGAGTGATCTCATGCTCTTCGCAGGTTGACAGCAGATTTTTCAGAGTGGTTTTCATATTTTTCCAGGATGGTTTTTCCTTGGATTTTGGTTTGGTGACCAGGTTTAGGATGAGTCTATCGTACACTTTGGCTATCAAAATGTCACCTGTCTTTATGTCACTTTGTAACCATTCTTCGATGTTGGCCTGAAGATTGAATTTTTCTTTGATGACTCTGGCGATTCCATCAGACATTAAAAGATCTGCACCTACGCAATGAGCAATGGCACAGTCAGGAGGGGTGTTGAGAATATCACCAGTATACATTTCAATAGAATTGTGAGCAAAGTCAAGGGTTTTAGGATTGGGCAGAAGTTTCTGGGGTGGTGCCGTTGGTTGAAGAACAGGATTCACTGCAGTATTGACAGTGACTTTAAGCTCCATTTTGTTCATAAAGGTCGAAAGTTTGTCAGTGAGAAGGTCGATCTTGCTGTTCAGGAGATCAACTTTTTCTTCAAGTTTCGTCACTTTCACTTTTATGATTTCTACTTCTTTTTTGTTGGGATGATCTTGATGATTTGATGAAGAGCCTATGATCGAACTTTCAGAGCTGTCATCTTTGTTGGTGGATTTGGCAGATCTGTCAGATTCACGTGGAGCAGGATTCACAGCGTGACCAGATGAGATTAGGTTTCCCTTCTTGCAGTTAGCACACTGAAAAGTAGGTCTGTGTTTTGGAACAAATTGGAAGGGTATTCCGCAGCAGTCCACATGAGTCACAGAATCACAGGCTTCAGCAGTACACTTTACGAATTCCACATATCTGTCACTAACATTAATAGCATTTTTACAAATAACACACACCGCCATGTTCACCGCCTTCAGTATGCCCTGGACTACTATGGCCTGGAGAGCTACTTCCTGGAGAATTATCTCTCATTTCATCATTGCACGGAGACTACCCGCCATATTCTTCCTCACATCCTTCGCCTAGACCTTCAATCAATTCCTCTTCTTCCAAAACTTCCTCGTCACTTTCGCAGGGAAACTCTTGATGAGTAAGATCCCTTAAATTTTCGAGACGTATTCGTTTGGCATCTTCCCTTCTGGCAGCTCGATTGAGGGACCCCTTGAAATTTTTCCTCTTTCAATGGAAACAGAGTAATATAATTATTAAAATATGATTAATAAGAATGGTGTAAAATGATACATGATATCTTTAAAACTTCACAATTCAAAACAACGAAACTATGAGACAAATTGTGAAAAATCGGTACTACCGGTACAAAAACCATGAAAGTGCAACAAGATTTTGAGGCTTTAATCTGATAACTGGCTACAACTCATTCAATTTTGCATCAATAAGAGGTTATAACCATGCCGGCAAAGGCATTGGCTATTTTTTTATTTAGTGCTCTGCACCTGTCGTGGAGAAAGGACCGCTGCTCGTTCATTCCTATTGCTGTAGGGTAAGGGGTCAAGTCAGTAGTCGACAGTTTACGGGGAAAACTTTTCAGAAACACCTGTCAAAAGAAAACCGAGGAAGTAAGCGCGTGGGGGAAAAGTGAAAGCATCGCAGAAGAATAAAACCTAATGCCCAACGTCCAAAATTGTAAAAACAATAGATTTGTACCAAAACGGTAGAACACAAAACCAAATGCATTTATTGGCCCAGTACTTTAACACCTTGGGCCCAGCACTGTAAAAAAATCAGGAGTAATTTTGTCTCAAAATGGGAGAGTAATTTTTGTCCCCCACTCGGTAATCCCAATTTACCATAATAATGGGTTGGTAAAAAGTAATTTATCTCCCACACAACTACATTTATCTAAGAATGGTGAGACAAAATCAGCATTTGGGCAGGTAATTACGTGTTACACGTTACACCCCCAAAGAGTAAATTTCGCCTGATGTTTGTTGGTAAAATTACCCCTCCTGGATGAAAAAAATGTTTTTCACACCCACGAGGGTAAAATTACGACTAGGAGTCACGGAGCACTCCGGAGGAAAGACACTAAGAGCCAGCGTGTCTCTAGCCAGGTAGGCGCGGAAGCGGCGTGGTTAAAGGCGCAGATTCGTAATCGGAATGTCCGAGGTTCAACTCTCAGTAGGGTGCCACACTTTTTAGCCCGCCCTTCTGCTTTGAAAAAGCTATCTAGCAGGCTTCTGCAAACGACCTCGTGTGTGTCTGTCTGTCTGTCTGTCTGTCTGTCTGTGTGTCTGTCTGTCTGTCTGTGTGTCTGTCTGTCTGTCTGTTGGTCTGTTCCACTAGAAGGAGATGTGCTAGAGACTTGAAGTTTTCAGGGTATCTTAAGGTCCACCCCTAGAGAACGAAGCGAGTCCAAGGTTCAAAAATTCTCCCAAAAAGTATTTATTTTTATGTTCTCCTAAGGGGTAACTCGTCAAAGTAGAGCCCTTTGGGCGAAAATTTCGTCCGTTGTGCTCTATCTCTAACCGTTTAGGCGCTAGAGGGTCTTTTTTGACGAAAATAAAAAAAGTTCCGACCAGAAACGGATCGTGAAAGCAGATGATACCTTGTCAAGAGTTATTCTATTCCCAGTCTATTATATTTCTGT